TAGCAACCTCACCCCAAATCCACTTGTTAATCATGGCAATGTCCAGGGCATGCCACTGGGGAGGTAGAAGCCATTCTGATGGGACCCAGGGGCATGAAGTGCCTGTGCTGTTCGGGCTCAGGATGAATGAATTAGGGTGTGCTGCTCATAGCTCACAGCCTTCACCTCATGAGTTCTAAAATAAATCAGCCCCAGACCGGAAGCTCCACTGACAGTAATGAGTGTTCAGTCTTGAGAACACACTGAGAAGGTCCATTGACATTTCAAAGTAGTTCCCAGCATGCAAGGTTAATAACTGATACAGCAGATACTTCAAAAGCACTATGTAGTCCCCCCCCACCACCATGTTCCTGGAAAGCCCCTAGTTTTATGTAAAATTTTGTCACATGTTCTGGAAACAGACTGTTTGGCTTGTGTTTGACAATCTCATTTTTAACTCTGGTAGCATTTACTCAACATTCTGTGCTGGCTTGCATATCAAAGACTGAGGGACAAAGCAGACCTGGGCCTTACACCATTGCTGACAAGGCCTTTCATCAAGACATTCACATTGCCTACAGTATACTACACCCTGGTGCCTTCCCTGAGGGCCCTTCAGTTGCTTGTCTTCAAGTGTGGTCTGGGCACAGGAAGCTATAATGAACCATGTGGCTGAGAGGGGCATCTGGGTTTCAGACAGGTACTAGTAAGAAGCTAGGCACTGGAACACTAGCACTATGGATGGACTTTGGCACCACAAACACAGGGCTGAAGTCTCAGTCACATTAGCTCCTACTGCGATAGAAACCACAGTACCCATGGCAGTTAAGCTTCACTGTCTACGTGACTGTGTCTATCATCAGCACGGAAGCAAAGAAGAACCTGGTATAGCCCATGATGGTGTTTACAGAAAGGTTTGATTAAGGCATGGAGACCTATCCCGTGGGTTGGGGACCTGGACTCAATACGGAGGAGAGAGAAAGCTATATCATTAATGTTTATCACTCTCAGCTTCCTGATTGCAGGTACAAGGTGACCAATTGTCTCAAAGGACCGCCTCTATGCCTTCTTACCCTGGCAGACTGTCCCCTCAAATTGTGAGCCCCAAACAAATGTTTCATTCCTTAAGTTGCTATTATCAGGTATCTTGACATAGCAACAGAAAATGTTAACTAGTCAGCACCCTAGCAGGGTGACTCAATTTAATCCTGGGCATCCGAAAATGCTTCGGCCTATGCATGAACCACTGAGCTGATTTAAAGAACCAATTTGCCAGTGAATTGTCTCTACTGCCAGCCAAGTTAAAGAGCAGAAAGAAAAAAGAACAATACTAAAGGACAGGTGGTAGTGTCCTTAACAGAGTTCCCTTGATGGAGTGTGTAGTCTACCTTTGATGAGGTGGCAACTGAGGAACCATTACACTGGGCGTGAGGGTTTAAAACTAAGCAGGTAGTATTTTCAAAGAATGTTTCACTTGATCAGCTGATTTTCATGCACTAAGAAAACATCTAGAGCCACCTGAGTCTCTTTCACACAATGTGGGAAAACACACAAGAATAGCATCAAAGTCAAGCTTCTTCTAAAGTGAACACAGTGCACAATCACAGATGCTGCCGCTAAGCGAGTTAAGCCATCACGAGGAGGTGGTTTTGGAGAGGCATGTGGGGACATACACGGAAACACCGCTGAGGAGATGAAGCTTCCAGCATTTGAATGGACTCTGGTTCGGAGTGGAGAGCTTACTCACAGTCAAGTGATAGGAGTCCTTCTGTGGGCTCTTCTGGCTTGTGGTTATTTGCCTCACTCTTTCTAAATAGTGACATAGTCCAACATGAGGCTTGTTGTTTCTTGTTAAATGTGATAGGGAAGATGCACTGGGGAAAACGTTCTCCACAGAAGGAAGACATTTTTTCACAAAGAAAGCGAGTTTCTGAGTACCATGTTTAAATCACTGATGAGGGGGAAGGGTACTCATAGGCATTTATGACAATATGAAAGAAGGGAATGGGGCAGAGAATTTGGAGCTCATTAATGCCTGCCTCACTCACCAATGAAACACAAAGATGAGATCCAGGGTTCACAGCTCTGACTCCCTCCACCTCATTGGCATACATAGTTAAAATTGAAATTAGTTAATTTTCAAACAGGCATTTATAACAAAATTGGAGCCTATATAACAAACAGAGCTCAATGCGGTAGCTTGGCTGGGCAGAGCTTTCCTCGGTGCAGTTCTTTGACATCTGTGACCGAGAGTTGGCTGCACTGAGGCTAATCTAAATGCATTCTTATAAAAAAAAATTAGCGGTGATCTAGCTTTGCACACTGCTGCTCTGGTGATATAGGGCTGTCGGCATCATGCTACATCAAAAACACCTCATAAAACACATTCACTTAACCCGCCTCTTGTTTACAAATGACTGAGAAAAAGAGAGAGAATATAGAATCATGGAAAAAGTTGAAGTCAGAAAAAAGCAGAACCACAGGATACTCTCACTTCTCAAATATGTGACTAGAAAATTTCCCCACCTCTCTGGGGAGGCAGAGAGAGTCTATCTGTACCTTCTGGGAGGGGACACAGAAATGGAAATAAATAAACACATGTTCTACCTTTGACCCGTTGGCACAGCAACCCCCCCAACCTTGCAAAGAATTCTCAGGGTGATTCTGGTAGCAGTAGAAAAGTCTGTGCCCATACTAGCCAGCCAGTCGGAACAATGTTTGTAATAAAAAAGAAAGAAAACCAAGTGACCTACAATAAAGAGAATGACAGTCTATGTACATAGCGGAATTCAGTGATGGTGCATTTTGAGGAATGGAGGGAGTGTATCTTGTTCAGGAGTGATCTCTATGATATATCGATGCATGCTGTTGAAGGGTTCTGAAGAGAGTGGGCATGGATAATCATCCGGTTGTCACTCAGTAAAAGGGGTTATTATTACTATTATTATCATTACTATTATTATTATTACTATTATTATTGCCAAGGGAAAAATGAACACCAGTTGCAATATGGGTGATTTTCAATAACAATTCCATAAAATAAAATCTGAACTGAAGAAGTCCATATAAACTAATATTGTAATTTGTAATTTAAAAAGGGATGTTTTCTGGCTCCTGCTCCTTACCCCAGTTTGGCTAAGAAGGAACCCAGGGGGAAGGAGCACCCCAGGAAAGTGCTCAGACTCTGACCCCCAAACACAGTTCTCACATGTGGGAAGCAGAGCTGCCAAAGAAACATGGTTCCAGTCACTGTGCAAGAATCCTAAGAAGCACACAGCACCTGTTGTAGCACATGAGTAGAAGGTCCACGGGGTCGCATGCTAATTTTGTTCTTTACTTTTGTATGTCCACACTTTTCCAAAATTAAACGCCGGCATTTAAGAAACATGCAAAAAACAAACTCTAAATATATCTCGAGTTATGGGAAAAAGTCTTAAAACAGGTACTTAGAACCATTTCCACAGACTGTGATTTAGTGAGGAAAATGATTTACCAATATGAAATTATTTCAGTAATGATACTGGGATCAGTGAGATAACTCAGTAGGTAAAGGCACTTGAAATTCCTGCAACCCACATGGTGGAGGGAGAGAAACCACACCCTCAAACTGTCCTCTGACTTCCACATGTGCACTGCTTGCCCCATCCCCAAGTATATGAAACTGGAAATCCCCAAGTGATTCTTGGGGTTTGATGATTTGTTAAAAATATGAAAACATGACATGTTTCAGTGAGTTTTCATCCAGGTATTGATGTACATAGGCGTAAACTATGATAAAACATCATTTCATCATGGGCAGATAAAAGACATTGAGTAAACAGGGTGACTTATAGACTCAGCACTGTAGTTAGCCTCTTGTGTTTGGATCTGTGTCATTTAGAGGCATACACATGTTTGCTATGATTCTGACTAAAGCCAAAGAGAGAAATGACCACAGAGTCAAGCCTCCTGGAGTGTCTACAGAATGTCACAAGTGTCTAGTTACAATATTCCAGTCATTAGGGAACATCCATTCTCATTATCGTCATTAAAATATATGTGTGGAGATCCAGGGATACCAACCATGCTAAATACACAAAAATAACTCAAAATCCATCAGTGAGTTAATAAAAAAGGTCAATGATCCAAGAAAATCATAGAAAAAAAAATGAACATTACCTTAGATATGGCAATGAGTAGCATTTGACACAAAAATAACAAAGGTGTCAATAAATTGGACTTTGTCAAAATTATTGGTAAATAGATAAACTATGGAAGGGGATGAATTTTAACAATAGATCATAAAATATAGTGTCTAGGTAAACATTTATTTCTTCTTCTTAATTATTATTGTGCATGTTTGTATATCCATATATATGTGTGTGTGTGTGTGTGTGTGTGTGTGTGTATGTATCATATATGTATTGTGTACGTATTGCAGGTGTGTGTGTATCATGGCCGAATGAATACAGGTCAGAGGACAACTTGAAATAGGTTCTTTCCTTCCATGACAGGTTCTGGGATAAATTCAAGTTATCAGGCATAGGCAGCCAGCGCCCTTACCACTGGACCATCTCTTCCACACAGGAAACCTTCAGTTAGACAACAAAATGCCAAATAATCCAGTTTAAAAATGAACAAAGGACTTAGTAGACTTTGTAATGAATGTTTAGACAAGACACACATGAGAAGATACTCAACAGCAAATCCACTGGTGAAAGGCCATTCTACTGGAACAACTGGATGAAATTTCTCTGTATCCACAGTAGCAAGCCGAGAATTCATCATCCAAATCCACCAACACACTTTGTGCCTTGTATGAATAGCATTCAAGTTTGTTTTCAATGCCTTTAAGCAAGGCACACAGATTCTAGTGGGACATAGTTCCCAGGAGTTTTGTGTCTTTCGGTGATCAGAAATGACCATATTTAGATTTTCAACTCCTGAGCCAGGATGAGGCATATGCTAAACACTTTGCATCAGCAACTCTTCTGTGATTGATTAATATTAAGAGGTAGGAAAGGATAAAAGGCTTTTCTTACCCACACACGGCAGGGAGTAGCCAAGCTGAGCATCATGGACAAATTGCCGATCATTGAGTCTTGTGACACAGTATAAGTGGAAGCAGTCCAAACAGATCACATGACGGTGGTTACACTGGAAGACCAGGACAGGGCTCCTGCATAGACAAAGAAGAAGCTTCTATGGGACTTCCATGGTGGACAGAATTCTGTAATAGTGAAGGTTGCTTTGCGCATGCCCTGTGCCAATACTGGAGCTGTGCAACCTTGAACTCATTCATTCCAAGGCCATACCTTAAACATTGGAGGCACCCCATGAGCTGTATAGAACATTAATTATGCTACTTTATATTTTAAATCAATATCAGTCAGTTGTTTAAACATGAAATTAAATATCATCTTTTGCTAGAAGTCTGCCCTGATTCCCAATTGTTCACTCACAATAACTAGGAGATAAGCCCTAGTATCTACTTTCACTGACAAGTCACTGACTACACACTGACAACAGCATGGACACACTGTTTCTCCTTATCCGGTGTGACCTCTGTTCGGTGAATACTGTGTATACATTACTCTGTCGTTCCCAAAGAAGCAGGCCAATTACACTGCTTCTTGAACTTAACTGTAATAATACATAAAATAACAAGTTGCCAAATTCAAAAGGATATTGACCATTACTATGCCTAAAAGCCATTACTGTTACCACAGCAAACAAACAAACAAACAAACAAACAAAAGAATTTAGATGCAAGAGATTAGTCAATAAGATTCTTTTCTATTTTAAGAATTTTGTCTGCTCTATAGCCATTATTTTATGAAAACATTCAATTTCTCAAATTGTGGTTATAAGAATATTACACACACACACACACACACACACACACACACACACACCCTAAAAGTTTTGGACTGCCTTATGTAGTGATTAGAATGAGAAGTGCCTCCCATAGGCTCATGTATTCATGTGTTTGAACACTTGGTCCCCAGTTGGTGGTACTGTCTGGGGGAGGTTACTGAACTTTTAAGAGGTAGGACCTTTCTGGAGGAAATATGTCTCTGTGGGTAATCTTTGAGAACATTTAGCTATGACCCACTTCATGTTCTCAATCTTGCTCTTCCTAATATGTAGATAAAAATATGATCAGCCAGCTTTCTGCTCCTGCTTCCCCGCCAAGCCTTCCCTGTTCTGATGGACTCTATCCCTGTGGAACCATAAGCCAAATAAACTCCGTTATCCTTATGTTGTTCTTGGTCACGGTTTTGTATCACAGCAATAAAGAAGCAATTAATAGGGTTATAAGAAAATACATCTCGTGAAGAGTCACATCACTTTGCTGGCAAATGAACCACATGTGCTTATGTGAAGAAGGGGACAAAATGATTATATTAATCTGAGATCCTTCCCAACTCAATAGTGAAATTGCCTTGTGGTCGATTTAGATAAGCCCATTGCCTAGGCAAAGACACAATACAACCATGTCCGTTCATACCCAGTCTTAGCCATTGTAAGATCTGTTTCTTTAAAAAGCCCTTTCCCTGGGGGGAAAAATCAAGATTAAATATGAGCATTGTAGCAGATAATTTCTTAACAACTACGAGGTTTAAATAATTCTGTTATCTCACTTATTTCAAAGCAGTGCCTAACACAGAAAGTGGAAAAACATCTCCTGGTGAGTTAATACCACAAAAGAGTCCATGACCGCAGCTGGGTGTGACAATGAACATCCTCCTTTCTGAGCACACCACAGCTCCCTTGAGGGGTTTGATTCCTACATCTAGATCCTTAGTTAACTGCTCTGAACTTTCAACCCTTTCCTTCCAGCGACTCTCCTTGTGACAAATATAAAACAGCACACTTTCTTATCTCTAACTTTTCCTATTGCGCACACATGGACACACACTAAGTGTGATCTATGTAGCAGCTGTGTTTTACCATCTTCTGTACAGATAAGCAATGAGAAAGATGCTCTCAGCTGATTGTGGTGATGTTAAGGCAGACCAGCGCTTAGACTGCCAACCCAGTATTATCACAAGTGAACACTGTTGAGACCATTAGAACGTGTAAAATTTCCTGTAGATAACAAGTCTAAAAGGAGAGCTTACAGGTGACCCTAGAAAGCAAATAACAATTGGTAAAATCAAACCAATCCCCCCATGCTCTGCCATCCCAGAGTCTCGGCACATAGGTTCTTCCTAAGATTAAAAAAAATCTTTATGTGTATATGTGTGTGCCTGAATGTATGGATGTGTACCACATGTCTGAAGAAGCCTGAGAAAGTCAGAAGAGGGCATTGGATCCTGAGAATTGGTGTTATACATGGTTTAATCCTGGGAACCGAACTTAGTCCTCTACAGAGCTGTAAGTGCTCTTAACTGCTGAACTGGCTCTCTGGCCCTCATGAACGTTGATTCTTTCTGAGGGAGAGTTTGCTCAGGTCAGGTAGGCAGCATGCATTTACCACATTTATTGTCTCTCCTTCAATTACAATGTAGTTCACAGGCATATAGGCCATCTACACAATCCACACAACATGTGTTGCTTTTTATTAACGACATGATGGTATTGAAATCAGATTAACAAGAGATAGAAAGCATACAAGAAGCCATTACGTGAGACAAATTCTATAAAAAATCAGGGTGCTGCACATTATAGAAGGTTTTAGAGGCCCAAAGTTGGGACCTGAAAGGACATACCATCCATCCAAAGTTAAAGACACATTAATGCCCTACGCCACTGTAATCTCACAGAAGGAAGCAGGGCGTGGTGAAGCTGAGGGAGGCATGTTCTCCTAGGAACACAGGAAGAATCTTTACAGAGTACAGGGGCCACGTATGCTCCTTGAATTAAGACAGAGGTGGAAGGGAAATTTGCCAATGCAGTTAATCCTAATTACCAAGAAGGGGCTCCTGGCAGGTATGGGGCTGGGAAGAAGGCTCCTAGCATCGGGCAGCCCTCTGGTGCTGGTGAATGTCGTGCCATAGCGCTTCTCTCTAGTGTAAATGGCAAGTAGAGAGCAGAGGCAGTCAGGGATCCGCAAGTGCAGGCACTGGGGTGTGGGCTCTTAGGGGATGCTCATCATAGTAGCTAGTGTTAGACAGCCTGTACTGTTACAAAAACTGCAGATTTCAGACAGAGCTTTAGAGAACAACATCTGCATGAATAAAAATGGGAGAAATGGCGAGAATGCCTTGGTAGACAATGAGAAGTGAAGGGGCCATACCCTCAGAAATACAGATGTGGCCTGTCCTGGGCATGAAGTCCATTTACCTCTCTTGAAGTTAAAGCCACCAGGTAGGCATGGAGTGTGAAGGGTAAGCATGGGGAACTGGCCTAGCAGCAGGAGGAGAAAGCATAAGCACTTATATTTGTTCTCTTGGCAAAAAGGACAACTATCCAAACTGCAAGAAGTCAAGGTGGTAGAAGAGTCATTACAGAATTTTCATTGTCTATTGTACACACTCAATTAGTATAAATGAACAGACATGGAGATGGTGTAAGACAGAGACACATAAGTTCACATGTTATGACATACATATAAAGGCAGTTAATTGGATCTGTTGAACACACATCTATCATCCATCTATCTATCTATCTATCTATCTATCTATCTATCTACCTATCATCTATCTATCTATCTATCTATCTATTTACCTACCTATCATCTATCTATCTATCTATTGACATAGATAATATAGATATGTATCCACCCATAGAAGTTATATAAATGCAATTGCATTTTGCAGAGAACTATCAGCAAGTTGAATTTCTTTACAAAGCTATGAAGTAATATTGCTGATTTTTATTAAGACACTCCTAGTTGTGGTGGTTTGAATGAGAATGTGCCACTCCCCTCTCCCCATAGGCTCATATATTATCATATGTTTGAATGCTTGTTTCTCAGTTGGTAGAACTCTTTTGGAGAGTGGGGCAATGTGGCCTTGTTGGAGTAGGTGTATTACTGAGGGTGGATTTTGAGTGAGCTCTTGTTGCTTCCTGTTTGCAATTCCTGGTATCCTGTCTTTGCTCTGCCATTGTGAGGCTAACCCTCTGGAACCATAATCCCAATTTATGTCTCCTTTCTACAAGTTGTTTTGGTCATGGTGATAAGGTGAGGAGAAGAGATGGAAGGAGGAAGACAGTGCAGACTTTGTACAGGGTGTGAGATGATTCACGTTCTCTTGACTGTGCTCCTCGCTGAAGGTTTTCCTGAGTTCTGAATGTTTCTCTGTAAACTTCATATACTTAGTCACTGTCCCTAAAGGCACCACATTAGGAGGCAAGGTTTGGAGAAAGTGCTAGGTCCTAGGGACCTCATGAATGGGGTTAGTGCAGTTGTGAAAGGAACCTCAGAGGTCCCTCATTCCTTTCATTTCTGTCTAGGGGCCAGTAAGCACATCCTCCACAGACACCAAGACTTCTAGGACCTTGACCTAGGACCTCTAGAACGTTAAGAAATAAATGCTTATTTTTCATTAACTCCACGGTTTCTAGTCTTTTGATATGGCAGTCCAAACAGGTGAAGGCTTCTGAACATGTGAGGAGAGTTATGTTTTAATGAGTATAAATTTGGGGAAAGTTTGGAAAAGGAGAAGGTGAAAACATCAAGGACTACTTGGAGGTAATTTTCAAAATTCTGACCCGAATTTCTAAGGAGTTGGACTGAGCAATGGAAACAAGAAGACGGATGCCAGTAACAGTTTTGTGTGGGACCTGTGGGACTTATTTCCCATGGGTCTTTTGTTCCTCCTGATGTTCTTCTGTGCCCTTTGATCAAATTATATACAAATGTCACTTGATCAATCTAGAAATGATTTTACCCCACTGAGCCAGGTTACAGAGCAGTTAATTAAAGGTTAAATAAAGTTCTCAATCTTATGTAAAAATAATTGCAAACACGTTATTTGACATTACTGAGGAGTTATTTGCAAGCGACGATTCCCTGTTTGGCTAAGGGAGGGATGTGCAGGCCATTTACTCACACACTATTCAGCACAGCTGAAGGAGATTCTGCAAAACAAAATCTATGGCAAGCCATCCCACAAGTTGGCCAAAGCAGGCTATTGTTGCATAGTATTGCCCACTTGGAAATCCTGTTCCCTAGTATATACAAAAACATTAGTAATGTTTTTGTATATATCCAGTAATATATCCAGTTTA